AGGAGTTGGGATGCAGTAGCGTCATAGTTCTAAGGGCAGGACTTTTTTTTCTTTTTGTGTTAATTTTTGCCATTTGGTTGCTATGTGTCCTTTTCTGTTCATTCTGAAGGGAGGTTATAGGAGGATGTCTTATTCTCTTTGATTGTGTTTTTCTCTTTCTCTTCTCAATAATATTTCTTTTTCTATTAAAAAAAGTCATTGACATAATTTTTACCCTCTTCCTTGGGTTGTCCATAGTCTCTTGGCTATGTGGCTTCCCGTATAGAAGAATGATAGACTGTGTTTGAGTTTTTGTATTTGAACAGGTAAATGTAGAGATAGGTAGAGCATTGAATCAGTAATGGTGGTTCATAGAATGAGGGACTTATATGTGAAATTAGAGAATGTTGTTTTTGGTTGATTCACTATAGGGACAAAGATCTTTGATGGCGCTTAGAATAATATCTTGTCTACTACTAGCAACTATTAATAGGTGTACTGTGTTTTCTGCTTGTGTAGGAAGCACGTTGGATTCATTCTTGAAATGTCATAGGTACTTGCTGGTTCATCTTAGACTGTAGTATACAGATGAATTAAAATTTGAAATTCACAATCTCTTGTTTCATTAGGGGCCTTTTATTTTCATTTTCTCTTCTAAAGACCTTTCATATTAATTTCATTGCAAGTAAGATTTACTCAAACAATGCCACATATTGGATGATTGGCTAACTGCCTGGATGACATTGCAAGTACACCAACGATCATCATTTTTATATTTAAGAACAGCATTTTGTTGGTTCTATGTAAAATTATGATTTTTGGCACATTTTCTCTTGATTTAGATGAGGAAAAATGTTTTGATATGTGCATAGTTGCTCCTATTGCCCCCAATTTCAGAGTCGAGGCTGTGCTCTCTTGAGTATTTATGCTACACCAACTTTGCTTGCAAAGGAGAAACTATTTCTTGAACAGGGATGGCAGGTAGATCTAACAATTACTTTTATTGATCAGAAGTTTCCTGTCTCTATGTCGTTCTATGTCGTTTTATTTTTTGTTCTATATACAGTACGAATTCAAAATTAAAACAGATTTCAGATGGTGATTGCAAAGTCATCTTTTCCATATACGACACCTAAATCTTTACTGGTTAATACTATGATGTAGTGCATTTGTTAAGTGACTTTCAAACAATCTAGGGTTAAAACAACTTTTAGGAGGATAATTGTGATCATCTGATATTTCCTCTTGGACTCTCTACATAGTAAAGGTCCATAGGCAATACAGCTTTTCGGAGGTAATTATGCAAGGTTAAAAGATTCCCCCACTGTGCTTTTCTTAATCATCATTTTTTTATTTGTGTTACAACCACGTTTATCAATTAATTTGAAGTTTAAGATAGTACGACAAAATTTTCTGTCTGTTTTCTTTTATTTTGTTTTTTTCATGTTTTTTTTTCTCTTATACATATTTCAATTTATATTACTTTTGCACATTTTTCTTATGCTGTTTTCAATTTTCTATTTGAGGTGTTAAGAGGGCTGTTGCTTGGGACATGTTGAGCGTTTATGGTAATTTTGTTGAAGCTGAAGAAAGGCGTAGGTAGGTTCTGCATTAATATTGGAACTTCTTTACTGCTCCATTTCTATATTCATTGTTTTATGGGCTTTAAGGCCTGTGAATCTACTTGCAGTTTTTCGATATGTGATCTAATCCAGTATTTTTTTAGTTTGAGAAACAGACCAGCATGTAGTCGAATCTGAAAATAAAGATCAAATTAAAAGCATTTGCTTCAATTCATACTTGCTATGTTACATGCTCTGCGAGAATTGTGTTTTCTTGGGCATGAGTGCATTGGCCCCTGCTTAATTCGTTATTCTATATCCTTTCTGAAAGATTGCCCCACCTTTCTTAAGTTGATGGTATGCAAACCCAGCATAGGAAGGTTGCATTCTTTTATTGATCTGCACGTGCGCGTCTATGTAAATGTTGTTGCATCTTTAACTTGCATAACATGATGCTGCTTCAATTAGAGACAGCTAATGGATCTTTCAATTTGTTTATCCATATATGACGATGCTGCTCCTGCAGTTGCTGCATTTGTCCTTGCTGAAAAGGAAAATCGTTAATCTTGTATCTATTAAGTGTTCTTTTAGGTCCTAAATTTTGGCTGAAGGATATAAGGGGAACTCCCATGTTCTGTCAATTTCTTTATCTTCTTTCCATTTAACTTATATTATCTAGCTTCCATTTCTTTGAGCATATATTTTGGGACAATTCTCATATATGATGATGTGTTGATTAGGATTGAACGATTGGAATTGTTTGATGAATTTGAGGAGTGGCACATGATGCAGGCAAGTTGATCTCTCGTTCTTTGTTGGGAAATAATACCAGTCAGAAAAAGTAATGTTATCTGGATGCAGCACGGGTGGGTCGGAACCAAGTAAATATGGTGTTCTTCGCCCCTACCCTCACATAAAATTGCATACATTCACACATTCACATTTAACATCGACATCCACAGGAGACCAAAATCACTGTGATATTAAGGCCTGTTCCCCTGCAGGTGCTAGACCTAGAGGCTGGCTCACCGCTTGCCATATGGACCTGCATGGGTCATATCGTGCATACTCTGTTCTGATACTGCTTAAGTGGGCAAAATAATTTGATGTTATCATCCTCATTAGTACAAAGAATAATTTTGTTCCAATCGGCTGATTTTCAGGAGCACTACTGCATTGCTTATGCAATCAATGACACTATGGTATGTCCATATACAAACCTGAGTCCTTGCATTTTTTTTTTCTTTTCTCTAAGCTGAGGTCATACCATGTTAATGTCCATCTGTGCGGAACTTCTGTTTTTCATTCGATAGCATATTTCCTTACTCTACAACAGAAGTAGATACCTTAAAGCCAGTAATTTCCTCACTCAATGGCTTACATTTTGACCATCTTATCCTTGCAAAAGTCATTTTCCCGAGTAACTCAGAATGAAAATGAGTGATGTGAATTACAAGTGAAGCAGAGTGTGCTATCATGTCTCAGAGATATCGTGACTCCTGGCAACGCCCGGAGTCCCAAGACACTTTAGAATTTTCCATAACGAAGGCATGGTAATTTTTTTTTTCTTGTCATGGTTCAGGGGCTGTTTAGGGATTTTGGCTTTCCTAACAATGAGCAGGACGTGTTGAATAAAACTTGAGTTAACTCATCTTGAGACGGCGAGGGGAGCTACTAGAAAGAAGATCACCAAGCTGCCCTACTTGCCATGTTTGGTCATTGAACAATGAATGAACGAGCAGAGTACCAGTTAATGAAGGGTGCAGTTGTCAGGTGGAGAATGGAGGATGATATATAACTGGTTCTGTATGCAATTTCTATATTTTCCGTTTGACTCCAAGAATTTAGATACCTTCATTTAATTTGCTAGCAGTTTGCGGAAGTAAAACGAGATGGGACCCACTGACACCGGTCCAAAAGTGTGTGTTATACTTCATATTTTCTCTTTTGTATATTGTCAAATTTACTTTTTTCTTGTTTTCTTTTGTTTGTATTTCCTGTTTTGACGGGATTGAATTGTCTCCGGGGAAGATAGACCACCAAAATCACAAATTGTCCCAACGCTAGT